TGCTTCAGGCTGGCACAGCTCAGCAGCCCCCCGCCCCTCAGCAAGCCCCCTCGCGCACCTCCCCCCACAGAGATAGGCCTGATTGTCCCCTGACAGAGGGGAAGAAACATCTGCAATCTCTTCATTCCAAGCCCCATGTTTCACCTCCTCACAGTGGCCAAGCATTCAAAAATCAGCCAACGCTGATCCACTGAGCATGGGAGGTCAGGCTGGCACAGCTCAGCAGCCCCCCGCCCCTCAGCAAGCCCCCTCGCGCACCTCCCCCCACAGAGATAGGCCTGATTGTCCCCTGACAGAGGGGAAGAAACATCTGCAATCTCTTCATTCCAAGCCCCATGTTTCACCTCCTCACAGTGGCCAAGCATTCAAAAATCAGCCAACGCTGATCCACTGAGCATGGGAGGGGAGTGGAGTGAGTGGTGAGGGGGGAGGAGAGGGGGAGAAAATGATGTATGAAGAAGGCCTGAAAGTTTTGGGGTATCTTTTCCATCCACTTCCTTTTTACATTAAAAACTAAGGTCTTGCCTACCCTGGGTGACTCTATGGGGACTGGAGAGCTAGTGGAATGTATCTACTTATGGGCGCTTATGTGGTAGCATGACTGAACACTTCCCAGTCTGTAATGTGTCCATCCTCCCAACACTCTGGTGAGGCAGGCCAGTGCTACTATCCCTGTTTCACAGATGGGGAGCTGGGCCACAGGAAACCAAATTTCTAAAGGCATTTAGCCACAGGTACGTGCAGAGCAGCGCTGAGAGATTTTCAAAAGCACCAAAGTGCCTACTTCCCTTCAAAATCTGGATCTTTAGTTCCCTAAGTACCTTAAAAAATCCAGCCCTGAAATGACCTGCACCAGGGTCACACCAGAAGTTTGTGGTGGCACAGAGGATTGAATCTGAGTCTCCTGAGTCCCCACCTAATGCCCGAAGCACTGGGCCATCCCGCCGCTGAAGGCAGCCCGCTCAGACAGAAAAGGGAAGCTAAGCAATTGAGAGGAGACAGGATTTTTTTTTATCTATGAAGACCAATCTAATTCCAGTGGCTAAGAAATACCTTAGAGCAGGGGAGGGGAAAATACAGGCAGCACCAGGCCGCTAGATCCAGCCTGTGGGAGCCTCCACCAGGTTCCCTGCCTACGCTGCCCCCACACACTGCTCTGAGCAGCTCTCTAAATGCTGCAAGCCCGGGGGGAAGGGGAGAAAGGCTTCTAGCACTGCACCTGCCCCCAGCAAAGTCTTGCCCTTTCTGGCCAATGGGAGCTGCCTGTTTGTAGGCCAGAACTGGCGCAGGGGCATGGAAGGCAGTGACTCTGGCTGAGGAACCAGCTGGGCTGCTGGCTGGAAGCTGCACAGGTAAGTGACTCCCGGACAGAGCCTGCCTCCTGCACCCCAGCCCCTGCACTCTCTTCCACACTCCTCCTACAGGTCACTCTCCCCTCCCAGACATTGCACCTCAATTCCCTACTCCCAGTCACAACCCAAATCCCTGCACTCCCTTATGCACTCCTGCTCTAGGTCACAACCCCCCTCCTTCCGCACCCTCCTCCTGTACTCCAATCCCTTATCCCAGGCTCCCTTCTGCACTCATCCTCCATCCCAGACAACGCACCTCCTCCATGAATGTCATGGAAGAATGCGGCCCTTGACTACTTTCCAAAATCTTGTAGTGCCCGCCACATAAAAAATGATTGCCCACTGCCTTAGAGAGGATATGTTATTCCTCTTCCACTGAGATCGGTGAACTCACAGAAAATGTTCTCAGAGACCTTTCCCCCATAAAAAGTGCCTGTCATTAAACCAGGGGAAGTCAGATTTAACATCTCTGATGATAATAATAATAATTAATACATAGACTATCATCATCATCATAAATATTTATTCATTTTTGTTACCCTATCCTTCATTGCCATCTCCGCCCCCTTGCTTGTTTCACCTCTCTCTTATGTCTTGTCTTGTAGATAAAGGGTTCTCAATTTAGGGTTTGGCAGCTCTTAGAGGGTCATGAAGTTATTACATGGAGGGGGTTGCGAGCCATCAGCCTCTACCCCCACACCCCACGTTGCACCCAGCCATTATAATGGTGTTAAGTATCTACAAGTATTTTTAATGTAGAAAGGGGAGGTCATACTCAGAGGCTTGCTATGTGAAAGAGGTCACCAGTTCAAAAGTTTGAGAACCACTGCTCTAGACCACAAGCCTTATGAAATAGGAACTATTATTTATTATATGTGCAAACAATGTGGAGCACAATGAAGTCCGACCATTTTTATTGTTTATTATTAACAATAATATTTCTTCTGTTAAAAAAAGAAAACAGAAAACCCAACCAATGGCTCACACAGGCAGCAAAATTCAATAGAACAATAATAGTGAATGACTTCAATTGTACTCGTATGAACTGATCAAATGTGACATTGGAACAAGGTTAACCGAAATAATTTCTTGACAGTTTTAATGAAGTGAACAGCTAAGTGAAGAAGAGAGGCTGTTCTCCGCATAGTCTTGCGTAACATACTACTGTTGGTTCAAAAAGTAACCGAAGCTGGGTCACTAAGCGACAGTGACCGGATAATGATTAGGTTCAATGTTTTCAGCAAAGGGATGATATCAAAGACTTGCCTGGGAACAATAAACTTGAGAAAGGGGGACTTAAAAATAAAATAAAAGACTAAGCCAGTCTGAGAGAGGCAATCTCAAAAGCAAGGAAAGGATAATCCTCCAATGTGGCTTGGGGGTTATTTTGGCAGAGTAACAGAGCCACACAAGGTCTGACTAACCCTCAACAACAAAGGAAACAAGAAGGGAGGAAGAAGCTTGGTCTCATTAAATGGCAAGGTTCAAGGGGGGGATTTGAGCCAAACCAGATTGAAATAGGAGACTTTCAGCAGAGGGAAATCCAGCCCAGGTGACATCCATAATATGGAACACTAAGTATAGCAAGTCAAATGTAATCTGGGCATTAGCAGAGAGCTAAGAGAGACTATGAAGAAGAATTAGCCAAAGACACAAATTATGAGACATATTGCAAATATATTAGAAGCAGAAAGTTTGTGGACGGGACCAGTGTTCCCTCTAAGATTTTCCATCCATGAGCAGAGTGAGTTTTTTCTTGTGCACCAATATTGATGTCACGTGCACTTGTTCGGATGTGTGCCACTGTGGCACCCCGCAGTTACTAACAAAATTATATATACAATTTAAATTATGTAAGGAAAAAAGTACTAAAACAAGGGTTAATTAACAAGGTGCATGACCCTGCACCCACCCACCCTGAAAACCACCCAACTTGTCACCCAGCTTTGCTCCCACCGTTCCTGCATCCATGGACTCCCCAACCCCTACACCCCCATTCTGTGCCCTTTACCACTAACCCTGCATTGTGCCCCCTATCCCCCTAACTTCTCCACAGTGCCCCATTCAGCCCTTACACTTTCCTTCCAACTGAGTCCCCAACCCCCTAATGCATATTTCCTGGCTTCTAAATGCTTAATGCAACTGGAGCAAGTAAAGCTTTCAAAATTTAAATTTAAAAAAAAAAGGGGGGAAACATTGAAAATACATGAAATCTTAGCTTTGTAGACAAAATGTAAATACAATTTTAATATTATCTTAAACTAGCTTTTGGAAAATTGACGATTGGTAAGGTGAGAATCAATATGTTGGTCAAAAGTACATAGACCAAGTAAAATGTGAGCACCTGAAACAAATCTTTACTTTCACCAAAAATAAGATATAGTTAACTTGTGAAGTAGTGAGTGGCAGCTTTTTTTAGACCCAAAAGGAGGTATACAGATCTTGCGCAAAGGGAGTTTTTGCTCAAAACAGACACGTCCACACTGCTTGTTTTTGCGCAAAAACCTCTTGCGCAAAAAGGATAGCACACGAAGCTGCTGATGAGCACTTCATTTGCATTGCCTATTCCACAAAAAGTTCATAGTGTAGACTTAGCCTAAGTGCATTTCCCTTTCAGAAAGCTAAAGGAAAATATTTACATTTAACACTGATTAGCAGGGAGAGAGTTCAGATCCATTTTAGACAAGCATTCAGACAGCATGTAATGATACTTTTATTCCTTTTATATTTCCTGTCTACAAGTCCCAAGCCTTAAAATTAATTGACCTTTCTGCAGCTCACCACCAGACAGCCATACACATGCTGGACTCACTTACACATGCACTGAATGACAATGCTCCTGACCTCTTATCTGACCACTGTGTGGGAAACTGAAGTTCATCACTTGACTGTTTGCAGCGAATCATTGGTTAGGATTTTTCTATACACAATACCTCCCTCTCAGGAGTTTTGGGCAATGCAGAGTGGTCTACGCTTGCAGGAAAGTCCCTCTACAGGTGTCTGATATGTGAGGGAGCCTGGCTGTGCCCTGCAACTAAACCCTCAAAGGGGGGCAGCTGCCCCACCGCTACACAGCCCGGCCAGCTGGCCGTAGAGTTCCACCCACTGAGGCTGCCCCAGCTCCAGCCGGAGCAAAGTGGGGAAGCTGTCTGCCGCTATGCAGCCTGGCCAGAACCCACCAGACCACTAGGGTTGCCAGATGGTT